AGCAGTTAGTCATCTGAATTCAGTCTCTTCCTTACCACTTCCTCACAGGTCTCAGAACTTTCTCCCGTACTTTTTACCCTTGAAGTCCCTGTCACTTCATCCTTGCCAGCTTCCCAGTCCCAAGAAATCCAGGGAAGATGGCTTTCATTCCAGAAACACTGAAACAATCTACTTCTCAGTGCATCTTGGGCTCGACACAAAATTAAGAGCAGAGAAAAAACAGACCCTCTTGCTTAAGAGCAATAGCACTGGGAGATACAATTCCAGACCATTTCTGAATGTACCTTGGTGGAGAATAGCTAAACATATGCATTAAATTGCATATCCATAAAAAACCAGTATTTCACCTGTGTCAACTAAGCTTCCAAATGTTCATGAACTGGAAAACTGTAAATGAATTTTCATGGAGATACCAAGTCATTCTCAACTAAATCCTGCCAACTGTAAGTCTCTTCTCCATTACCTGAAGGTGCTAGAATTCTTTAAAAAATAGGCCTTGAAATGAATATATTACCAAGAAATATAACAAAATATTCTTCCTCAATCTCATTCTCAGGTGTAGCTGAGCCATTTTGGTTGGGTAGGCTAAAAACGTGCAGCCTGAGACAGAACTTCAGTGCACAGAATTTCAGGTTGAATCACTGAAGTTTAGCAAACTTACAGTAAGCTGGAAGAAGTGTAAATGTCAGGAAGAAACATGGAGTGGACAAAAAATTAGTTGAGAATTATTCCTCTTATGTGCAAACCTCAGCTGTTCTGTCAATACTTATCTGAATGGAAAACAAGTCAGTAGGCCTTGTATGTTAGTTTTTAACTGAACAAAGTAGAAAAAACATCACAAAACTCTGAAAATGATGCCTAGTGTGGGTGCCCAATGACCAAATAGCTCTGCACATACCCATAGATCTTCCACTAAAGTTAATGTTATGTCTTTGCATATAATCTTTTTTTCCTCCTAAGGGGAATCATGCATGGACATTTGAAGGCAGAATTTGATTCTAAGCCTAGTATCTTTGAATTTATTTCCCCCAAAATGAAAGTCTCTCCTTAACATGCTAGTCACATTCCCCTACGATTTTAAATAAGCTGCCTCTCAGCCTATTATTGTTTAGTATGTTTTCCTATATATTCAGAAAGAGTTGTCAAAACTCTCAGGTGCTGAAGATAAGCCTGCAAAGCAGAGCTTCAACAAAATAAAGAAGGAGATTGTATAAATTCTAAAATATATCAAGGTTAGATTACCTTTGTTGCTTTGTATATCTAAGATTTGAATTGATTTTTCTGGTATGAAAACAAAGGGGGGAAGGGACTTCTGAGGTAATGCTTTGCAGAAACCAGAAAAGTCAATAATATGCAGACAACTCAAACATATAGTATTTACTGATTCAGTGAAGCATGTTTTTAATGGGTTATGAAGGCAAATTCCAACCTAATAGATGTACATTGGTTATAAATTCTTAGAAATCTATTATTTTAATGCACAAGTTTACATAATCCTATGAGATTCTTAAAAGCCTTAAGTTTTTAAAAAGTTTTTGAAAAGAACTTTTTTTTTCCAAAAAGTAAGTCAGCCTGCCATAAGTTAAAGAAAAGCTGGCATATGAGACATTTCACATGGAACAGAAAGCAAGTTTTAAAATTTGGGAGACAATTACATAAAACATGCATTTATGACAGACCAGATGTTTAAAAAGTAAAGAAATGCTCTAGTCCAATTCCCAGAACTATTAGTGAAACTTGAATTTTAAACTAAAAATCTTGGTTCCATAGTGTTATATATAGAGGAGTAGACATCCTGTACCAATCTAAACACTTTCTCTGACATTTTGACTTTCTTAGAAAATCCTCTTGAGTGTCAAAACCTCACTTGGTTTCAAGTTGTTAATGAGATTGCAAACCAATGCAGCCATACAGAAAGTGTAATAAAGGGCATTTTAGTCTTGCCATTTTTATCTAATTTTGCAGAGACAAATTTTGCTTGTTATTTATTATCAATGCCTCTTTGTAATAATGGTACATACTTCTTCAAGTTAGAGTACTGAAAATGAATACAGTAAAGCTGTTGGATAATAGGCTTTGCAGTAGAAAAATATACAAAAGAAACAAACAGAGCTTTATTAAAGAATAGAGGTCTCAATTTTCTATTTCCTTAAAATTCTGGCTGCCGAATACCTGTTACTTCTATACCACATGAAAGTTGGGAATTTTGGATAGACAGACACTTCACAGTTTTACATGAGCTAATGTCAATGTGATTATCCTACACAACATATGAAAAGATGGACCAGTGTGTGTGATATCTTATAACTCTTCCCTGCCACAGTACATGGCTCTAAGTAAGGAGAAAATACTGGATTTAGTGAAGAGAACAGAGAAAAAAAAGCAAACATCTAGAATATATCTGCTTTCAATCATTTGACATATTATCTACAGTAGAAGTAATCATTCATTAATTTTGGGGCTATTTATGACTACTCTTGATGCAACAGGTGGAAATTTAGCCTAAATTTGACACTACGGTGTAGATTTACACTTCTTTCCCAACCCTTAGATCTGCTCTTGAAGCCAGGAAGTCTCACACACCCGAAACTTTATGCTAATGTACCAGTCACTTCTTAATTTTATTACTGATCTTAATGAAAATGGGATCAAGACAACATTTTTGTGAGTTAAATAAAGAGCCTTGGGCCTTTCTCTCCTTGGGCTAGGATAGAATGGTGCCTGGTGCCTATGTCTGAGGAGCTTGTTAAGGTGACAAAAAATACACCACTAAAACGTTCCGAAAGCAGGTGAGTCCTATGAACTCAGATCATTTATCACTTCCCAGAATCTCAGGTTTGGTGTATTTGAGAGGATTTTTCCTAAACCACAGAGGATTTAGAAACAGTGTGTGGAGGTCTTGAGAAGGTGTAAGTGTTATCTTACACTCTGCATTTCTAATGAGCAGTAGGATGTGTTTTACAGCACAGCCTGACCATGGCAAAAGGAATAAAGGTCTTCTTTCCTGCTACCTCCTCCACACAGGATTGCAGGCCCAGCTACCTCTGTAATATTCTTGAATTCACTCTTGTCACCCAGCTAGCCCTTCTCCCCATTCCCACACATATCCCATTCTTTTTTCCCCAGGTCCTCATGTGATCAGTCATCCCTTTTGCATACACTATCTATCCTCCATTCCCAGAGACGTAGCCTGATTTAGCAGCGACAGATTCAACCTCTCTGAATGTAGGAGGGTTTTCCAATGTAGACTTCCCAAAACAAATATTTTGGCTGTTAGGATCACGGCCTAATGTCCTACACAAAAAAGAGAAACACAGAAAACATTGTATACTTCCTTTTTATTTTTTTTCTACAGATGTATTTCTACAACTTAAGTTGTTTGTGTGAAAAATAAGGTGCAAGGTATAACTTTCATATTCTTTCTGTATCAGTGATTCTATGACTTCTCCTCCAAGTGGTAGCACTTTTTTATAGCACTCAGCAGGATGTTGAGAGCTGTGTTTGTAGCTTTACCTCTTTTTATTTTAATTTTTCAATTATTTTGAAATATGTTACTTATATAATTGTTATATATAGAGCATGTATACATGCACAAACATTCATGTATGTATATATAGCTTCACACAGAATGTTTTTGATTAAAGGCCATATATGTGTATATATATTTGCCACACATGAAAGGGAGAAAAAGACCCTATATATCCTCTTTTCATACTTTTATTTTGATTACATAGGGTTTTGCTTGGTTGCTCTCCGTAAAGAGAACTGGAAATAAAACTTTGAATTCTAGACAGTCTAAGTAGTATTTAATCCAGTGATGAAGGTAAAAATTATCCAAAATTCTTCTTATAAAATAAGAATTTTTAATATGCCTCTGCCCACCTTTATACATATTGCCTTAAGCATAGTACAATGTTTTTGCCCATAAAATGGACACAAAGTAGTGAAAACCTCATAGTATTATTTCTTTCTCATAGTTTTTATTGTTGATACTCAATTTTTAATTGCAGCATAGGAAAGGGGAGTTTACTATGAAAAGAAAATGGCTTGTCTTTAAAATGTAAGAATTTTTTCATGTGCTATTGTTGCCTGCCAACAATGAGCTAAAGAGGTTAATGGATCATAGGTCTGGCAAACAGCCATGCTGCCTCAAGCGCCATACATTTAACTGCATAATCTGGGTTAAGATTTGGTGCTATTTTTTTAAATCAGGGCATGAACCGTAGATAAATAAAAATTAGGTTTTATCCTTTTATTTTATTTTATTTTATTTTATTTTATTTTATTTTATTTTATTTTATTTTATTTTATTTTATTTTATTTTTTTATGTTGCCCCTGAAAACAGAGCCACTTATCACTGTTCTCGAATGGCACAGCAGGAGGAGCGAAGGGAAGCAGGCGGGGGCCTCTCCGCCGCCCTGTGCCCCGGGATAGGGCGCTGCCCCCGTTAGCAGCCGCCGGGCACTCCCTGGCATCCCTCCGGCCGGGTATCAGCGCCGGCTCCCCCTCTCCCCGGGCTGCCAAACTCCAGGGCCCAAAATCCCAGAGGAGCACTTTCACGGGTCCTCTACACACAGCCCTTTCCGCAGGAAACTCCTTTCGGAACTCCGAAACCACCACCTGCAGCCACCTCTCCATCAAAGGAGTGGGGTGTGCGGGGTGTGATTGATTGGGTTTTGGTTTGGGTTGGGTGATTTTTAAGAAAGAGATCACAGAAAAAGTACATAGCTCCCCCTCTCCCATATTGCATGTTCTTTGCGCACGCTGTTGGAGGAGCCAAGCAGCAACGGCAGCGTTATAATGCAAATCACTAAGCGAGCAACTTTCAATGCTGTTGTGGCTATTTTTGATTTCTCTCCCGAGAACGGGCTTTTTTTAGTGTGCGCGTTGCTTTTTTTGCCCCCTTTCCCTTCGATTCCTATAATCATGCCCTCCCTCCTTTCTCCGCTTGCTCCCCCCTCCTCCCCCAAAACATCCAGCAGTGATGATGCACCGTCCTCGGTCCTCTCCAGCGGGTCACTCCGCTCGGGTGGGAGGTGAGCAGCCGAGCGAGGGAGCGGCGTTTGCAGGGATGCGCTGGGGCACCGCACCGCTGCCCGGCAGAGGCGGGCCCTCGCTGCTGCTGCTTCATTCCTCCGCTTCTGGGCTCCGCCGGCAAGCTCTTGGGGGCAGCCGCCTTCCCCTCCGCGCCCTTCGCTTCTGTCCCTCCAGCCGCGTCCCGGCGGCGGCAGCGTCCCAGCGCCAGCCCAGTGCCTGCGGGGGCGCAGCCGCTTCCCGCGGAGGAGCCAGCGCCGGCGGAGGGCCCTGCCCGGCTCTTCCCTCGGCCGCAGGGCTAGCCGGCAGCACCTGGCTGCGTCGCCCGCCTTAGCGGACTGGGAGAGGGAGAGGGAGGGAAGGATGGAAAAAAGGGAGGGAAGGAGGGAGGGAGGGAAAGAGGGAGGCTCCTGCGTGCGCGGGGAGCGGCTCTGGCTCTCAGCTGGGCGCTACCGGCAGCGGCAGCTTCTGCCGTGCTGCGCCGCGGGCGGTGACGGCTCCGGCGCGGCGGGAGCGCACCGCTGCCGCGGGACCGCAGCTCCAGGGCGGGGGGCTCAAACCTCGCCCGGGAAGTAGAGACAGAGTTTTGCGGTTTTTTTCTCTTTTTTTCTCCCTAGTGATTGGGCTTTTTTTATTACCCTTTTTTTAATCCCTCCCCCCGCTCCCCCCATTCACCCGGCGGTGCGTGTGGCGGCGGGGAGGATGCGCGCCTCCCCCAAGCCGTTCCCCGGCAGCTCCCGCCGCGGCTGCGGGGCGCTGGGGGCCGCGGGGCCGGGGGCGCGCTGGGCCGCACCTGGTGGCACCGCCATGAGCCGGCTGCGCCCCCTGATCTCCCCCGCCGCTCCCCGCCGCCCTTCCGTGCCTGAGTCTCCCTTCGCTTGTGTCCAGCATCGCGCACACACGCACACGCCGTCACGCACGGAGGCACTCACTCACTGACTCTGCCGAGCTGCCCAGGCTGCCGAACAGCACAGCGCAGCGTCGCGCAGCCCGCCCGGAGCCCCCTCCCTCCCTCCTTCCTCCCTCCCTTCTTCAATCCCTCCCTCCCTCTCTCCTCCTCCTCCCTCGCTCCCGCCCGCCCGCCGCTCTGAAGGATGCCCGGTAAGTAGCGACGAGGACCGGCACCTCTGCCGGTGCGTGATGTGAGGGGTGAGGGACTGCTTACACTGCTGCCGCCCGCCGGGGGGGCGGGGGGCGAGGGGAGGGGAGGTGACAGCGATCCGAGGCAGGAGGCAGCGGGGCTCGCTGTGTGCTCCTCAGAAGGACTTTTAGCTGCTCGACCGGGGCTTGGATGTGGGCGCCGAGGGACGGGGTCTGTGCACCGCAGCGGGCACCGGCCGGGGCGGGGGCGCTTCGCCTGCGCTGCGGGTTGCTGCCTGCAGCACCGCGGTGAGTACGGGGCTCCGCGCCTCGCCGGGGTCCCCCGGGGGCGGGTAAGGTGTGGAGGGTGCCCTGCCGCGCTTGGGGCTCCCTCCTTGGCGGCTCTGCTCCGCGCCGTGCTGGGACCGGGGCACGGAGGGCGCGGTGCCCCCCGTACGCCCCGGGCACTGCCCGCTGCTACTCCTCGGGTTTGGCCACGTCTGTAGGGGCTGCCAGCGCCGTCCGGTGTTTGGGGCGCCGCGGTGGCACCGATCGGACACGAGGACGGAGCTCCGGCGGGCGCCTCACCTGCGGAGAGGAGCAGCCAGGTGCTGCGCACCGGGGGAGCGGAGCGGAGCCCCGGCCGGTGCCCCGGCACCGCAGCGAGAGGGTGCCCGCGGCTCCCTGCCCGCGCCCCGTCCTGCGTGCTCCGTCCTCCTGCGCTGCAGAGGGCTCCGGTGCGAAAACACTCGGCCCTTAGGGAAGCGTAATGTTTGTAAAATGTTTGCTATCAATTAGCGGGTGGCTCCGCTCTGCTCGGGTTTGCGCACGGCTAACTCCGCTCAGGCAGGGGCTCAGCTCCGGCTACCAAATGCTCGGAACACCGTGCAAGGGGCTTTTTGTTCTTCTAGACTGCCTGGTGTGATTTGTGGGAAACACATATGAAAGCGCACAGTTGCTGGCGATTTTTAAGTGGACTTTGGTAAATCATTGAAATCTTTTTTCTTACTTCTGCTGTGTGTACTTTGGCAATGATCTCACTGTGTTTTTCATCCTGGGTATGATAACTCCGCCATTGAAGTCAATGGCAAAACTCCCAATTGACTTCAGAGGAAGGCAATGATGGTCAATACCGAATGAAAGGGACTGGGCAGAAGATGGAGAGATGGCAAAGCAGAAGAGATGTATCAAAGAAACTTCCTCTTAGAAGCTAGCTCTCTAACCAAAGAGTTTTAGCAGGGTCAGGATTGTCTTCTAGATTTTCATTGCCATTTCTTTCACTGGAGAATACTGGAATGATTTCTTGATGTGCTGGAAATCTAGTGGTCTGAATCCCATTTTTTTACCCATAGACATTATAACATATTACTTAGTAACTGATACTTTTTCCAGTATATCTTTTTTCTCACTAAAAAGTTGGAAGCAGTTAGAGACAATTAGATGGGCTCTCATTGACTTCAGTGGCCTGTGGATCGGGCCCAGAAAGGCTCAATAGAGAAGTAACAAGAGAACTGTAGTACAGTTTGTAAGGAAAGGTGTTGCATAAGCATTTAACTCATGAACTCCCTCCCTCTAGAGAGGAGAAAAATCTAAATGTACATTAATTTTTTATCCCATTTTATCCAACTCTTTCACAGCACAGATACAAATAAGAAAGAATGCTTCTGATTAATAATTTAAATGCCCATATTCATATGGATTACAAAGAAGATTTTATACCAAAAAAAATTCCATTAGCAAATGGAAGATCTAGTTCACAGAACATCCTCTGTTCAGTGCAGTATTTAGATTGGGAGCAGTCAGATATATAATGAAGCACCAAATACAAATATTGATATTCAAATGGCAAAAGCTAGACTTATTCCTGTAACCTGACTAACAACTCTCAACTCCTTGGAATGTCTTAAAAATGAAAGTGTGATTTTTAATTTTTTTTTCCAATCTGAGTGTTGAAAAAACCCCCAAGCATCCCTACATGCTGAATTTGGTCAAAAAACTTATCAAGTATCAGAAATATGTCCATGCTCATGAACAATGTGACTATTACAGTGTTAGCTGTGCTGGGTTGCCCTGGCTGGATGCCATGAATTCACCAAAACCGTGTTATCAATGTTCTCCTCAGCCAAACAAGGAAGAGAAAATGTAACAAAAAGCCCATGGGTTGAGATAAGGACAGGGGAATCACTCAGCAGCTCCTGTCACATGCAAAACAAATACGTACTGGGGAAACTTGTTTAATTTATTACCAGAGTAGAAAAAATAAGAAATAAAAGCTAAATCTTAAACACCCACCCTTCCCCTTCCCCTCTCAGTCCCCCCTCTCACCCCTCCATTCATCTCAGGCTTGACTTGACACCCTAATTATCTACCTCCTCCCTGCCAATGGTTCTGGGGGATAAGGATTGTGGCCAGTTCATCACATGTTGTTTCTGCCACTCCTTCCTTCTTAGTAGGAGGACTCCTCACACTCTTCTGCTATGGTGTGGTGTTCATCCCATGGGAGATGGTCTGCCATGAACTTTTCCAACAAATTCTCCCATGGGCTGCAGTTCTTCATGGGCTGCTCCAGCGTGGGGCCCTTCCACCTTCAGGTGCAGACTGTTCCCACGTGGGTCCCCCAAAGAGGGACACTATTCCAGTGGGGAGTCCTCCCTCCACAGGGCCACAGATCCTGTCAGAAACTGCTCCAGCATGAGCTTCCCAAGGGGTCATTCCTCCTCTGAGCATCCCCCTACTCTGGAACAGGCTCCTCCAAGGGCTGCAGGTGGATCTCTGCTCTACCATGGAGCTCCGTGGGCTGCAGGGGCACAGCTGTTCTCCCCATGGTCTGCACCAGGGGCTGAAGGGGAATCTCTGCTCTGGCACCTGGAGCACCTCCTCTGTTGTATTGCACTAAATAGTTTATTTAGTTGTTTTGCACTGGGGTCAATCTTACACTCCCTCTTCACTGACCTTGGTGTCTGCAGAACTGTTGCTTTCACACGTTCTCAGTCCTCTCTGTGAATGCAGTTTCTATTGCTCACTCCTCTCTCTGGCTGCAATTTCTGTTGCTCAGGGTCTTTTTTCCCCCTTCTTAAACCTGTTATGCCAGAGGTGCTGCCACCATTGCTGATGGTGCTCAGCCTTGGTCAGCAGCAGGTCCATCTTGGAGCCGGCTGGCATCAACTCTGTAGGACATGGGGAAGCCTCTGGCAGCTTCTCACAGAAGACACTCCTGTAGCCTCCACCACTAACACAATACAAGAAGAAAAAATCTTTCTCATTTATGGTCCAATAATGATGTTTCCCTTTTAAGTACAACTTTGTGCTAAGAGGGAAATATAAAAGCAAAGTTTGAAGTGCTGCATCTCTTGTGCAGCTTTTTTTGCAGGCATTTGGTAGGATTGTCATTGAAGTGAACTGAATGTGTCACTAATACTTAACTGTGAAAAAGATTAAGATGTTCATGTTACAGTGGGAAAAAAACCTGCAAAATGGACAAATGCTTTACTGATTATCTCTTTTCTCCTTGCAAATCCATAGGCAAGACAGACACTTCATTCTTAAAATGTCATATTGCAGGTTTCTTTCTAATTCTGTGAATTCTAATGATTCTTTTATCATGTGCCATATATGGAAGTGGAGGGTACATATTTTATGGGACTTTACATGGAGTAAAATTTTATTTGAGCTACTTTGTTGCTTCCTCTATTCTCCAATCTATCTTCCTCTATTCTCCAATCTATCTGCTGTTTGTGAACACGTTATAATGCCACAACTTATTTTTATTGACAAAACCTTTATTTCAAGTCAAATGTGAAAAATATGGTAATTACTTCAATATTAAGAGGTTTGGATTTTTTTACTGAGGGGTATGGCGGGGTGTGATGATGGTACTTTTTATAAGGTCCAAAACAATGCTCCTCTTCTTTCTGTCAGCAGT